GTCGGTCGTCTCTGTGAGAGAGAGAGAGAGAGAGAGAGAGAGAGAAATGTCAACTTTTCCGGATTTAAGGTGAAATCAAAAAATAGAAATCGTATTTCATTTTTTCTGGAATGTTTGAATCGACGATGAAAAAGTGTGTGGTTTAAAATGGAGCGTGTTCCAAAGCAACGAATTCAGAAAGAGTCGAAGTAAATTGCTACGATGCGAGTATCCAATTACGATTTCATTTCAGGAGAGTAGCATGGAGAAACCCGTTCAAAATTACTCAAGCAACAAGCTTTCTTAGTATACACACTTCTCCACCATATACGCCTTACCATTTTAATTAGGTGAAATTCATAGCGAGTTTTCAATGAAATACGCTAATACGCGATTGCGTGTGTTACTTAAATCATATTTACGCACGTTCGAAAATTGCGACACGATATATATGATGAGAGAGAGAGAGAGAGAGAGAGAGAGAGATGAATCTCTATTCAACATCTACAACAGAAATTTTCACAGAGCATCGATCGATCGAAATTATTTAGAAACCGAGACGATAATCGAGAAGAGCTCGAGTAAGAACCTCAACACGATTTTGGAGAATTAATTTTTCTCTAAAAAATTTAGGAAATTCCAATTTTTTTGACGAATAAAAATTCAAAAAGAATAAAATCATCATCGACTAGGAAATACAGAGAAGCTTGAAATAAAAGATTTATTCGTTGAGGCGGATCGAGTTATCCTAAAGAGGCTATGGGTTTTCGCGGATACCTTCCAGTAACCTATCGTAGCTATTACGCTATTACGACCTGGGGGCCACTAATGGGGCCCATGCTGTGCACGAAGGAATCACGTTACGTACGCATGCAGCTACGGTCAACCGTGTGTACACGCGCGTACAGAAAACGCGTAGTCATGCGCCTCGCGTCGCTGCGTTTATTGCATACACCCATCCTCCGATCCACCGAGTGCTGCTGCTCTCCATGCTGGAAGAAACGGTTACACACGAAATACAATACTTTCGGTACGTGACGTTCGAGCAAGCGGCTGCATTTACAGCCACCGCAGCCCCGTGGTGGTGATACGCGTCTGTTACTACCGAAACTTTTCCATCGGGGGGAGGGGATTGGATATAGCGCGCAGCTACCGTGACTCAAAACGCGACGAAGACACGACCAACGTTCTTTCTTTTTCTACTGTTTAATAGAAACGCTCGGTGATGCTCTTCTACGAGCGGATCTAATTTATTACCCGTGCGATTGCACCGAGCTATTGATAACAGAGCCGCGACAACTACGTCGTTAGTATGTACGTATACATGATGCTCGTTCGTGCTTCTTATCTATAAATGCGCGAGTGTTGAAGCGCGGTGGTCCTTTTTTCCCCCTCCCTCGAACACGTTTTTTAACTTTCGTTTCGCGATCGTAAGAGATACTACGTGCGCGCTCTCGTCTCCTCGTGGAACGAATTCGGGCAATGAATAACGCACGAAGATACGAAAATTTATAGAATAGCGACGCGCAATGATATTTGCTCATCGAGAAAACGATGCACGAAGAAATATATTACAATCGATATCGGATGGCATCGTTACTTTTGACAGTTGTTCTTCCATAACCTCAAAAACGTAACATCTTTCAGAGTTTTAAACTCTTTCTGAATGTTAATGCGGCGATTACGTTTCGTAGTTACGCGCAACTAAACACGTATTAACCTAATAAAGATGAAAAACAAATTCTTTTTTTTTCTCCCGCATATCGTTAACCTCTCTGCGGACAAGATATCTCGTCACGCGATATCGTTTACGTGACACTTTGAACGAAATATCTCACGTGTTTAATTTCCAACGAATAATCAATTGATGAGAGAAAAATGTAGAAAGTTTTATATTATTTGCTAAAACGAAAATTAAAAAGATCGAATCTTCGTTATTGATTAAAGTCCAAAATTCTACAATTGATCTAAAACGAAAGTTATACGTATCATCGGATTAATTTGCTAAAATAAACAATTTTTAACAAAATATTGAATTCACACTTTCTTTTTTCCAAGCTAATCTAAATTATTAATTAAGGATGAAACAACGTGACACGTGTGAATACAAAAACAATCTAAATAAGAAGAGGAAGAAGAAACGAAACAAAAGAACATAGAGAAGCAAAAATCGGCAACTCACATTGATCGAATATCTTAAGCATCGCTTTCTTCAGCTGCATAATCGTGCGCTCAGTGTGGCGAGGCGCCTCGACGAAGTGGAACAATCAGGTTCATAAAACAGCGTGGTCGACATGTAAGAATCGAGCGCCGCTCGTCTCGCACGCAACTCGTTCCTTCTTCGACAGAGAGCAGTCCATCCTTCGGACACGAAAACCGCGGTGTCCTTCAAGGAGCGACCGTGCGTCTCGCAGGACGTTGCTCGGTCGTCCGGCAGCCCGCTATTCTCCACCACGACCGCATCCTTGTTCCTCTTCTGCGTCGCTTCCTTTTCTCCCCCTTTCTTCACCGTTCTTCGCCCCAGCTGCGCGTTCTTCTTCTCGAGCCTCTTCTCTCGAACGGCTTACCGCTCGCGCGCGACTCGCTTCGACTCTCTCCTCTCCTCTCCTCTCCACTCCGCGCTAGCAGTTTCCCGTTCCACACGGAACGCCGCTATACACGCACGTTACACGCTCTTCAACCGCTCCACCGCGCGTTCCGCTAGAGAAGTTGACGACTCGTGCGCCCGCGCGCACGCAACCAACTTCGGGGAAGCACTCTCTCGTCTCGTCACTTCCGGTGCACTGGAATCCCTACGATGAATGAACTCGCTTGTGTTGTAATCGCTCCCACGTAGCGAACCGACCTCTCGGGGCAAATTTCCTTCGATAACATCCACGTGCCTGGGGAGGCCTGAACACGCACAGAAACTTCGTTTTCGCGATGGAGGTAGAGATGGATGAAATCGATCGTTCTCAATTCGATCGTTTTCTTTTTTTTTTTCCCATTAATCGATATTACGATGTCGAAAACGTCGCTCGTCGGAGACGATGTTCAATCGACTCGTTCTCGAGCTGGAAGCCGACTGCTGCGCCTCCGATTCGCGACGCCGATCATTTCTTCATCTCGGCAAATGATCGTTAGTCATAAAGAATGTTTAACGATCGATCAAACTGTTCGTTAAAAGACGTGGCACTAATTGTTAATACTGTTGGGAAAACGAAGGAGTAACTAGTTTTCAGTGAACAGTATTTAAATGAATTCAACACTCTCGAATACTGTAGTTCTAACGACTGGATGCAGGATGGATCAACTTTCGAGTTGAATTCCGAACTACTGTTATGATCTCGCGATCGTCTTGTCGAAATACGTGACGTTAAAATAGTTTTAACGATCGAACGTCAATCGTTGTAGAGGAATTAACGCTCACCCACTTCAACGACAGCTGACTTTCAAATTTATCGCGCCCAATTTCTTTTTACCCCAATCTTATCCAACATTCGACACAGAATACAGATGAGAAACGAGAGATTTACGAGCAATCCTTTTCCTGTCCACTTTTTTAGTACGCGAAACAAGAATGCTCGAATCGTATCTTTTAATTATTCCAACTGTTTCTTTTCGTTCGATGAAACGTTGCGACCTAACCTTATCGCACTATTCCAACAAAGAGTAAGAGAGAGAAATTTAATATTCCGTTTCTTTCACAATTTAGAAAACGAGACAATTGCATTTGCAGATGCAATATCACGCTGTTATTCTTAACGACACTTTTAAATTTAAATTTTCTATTTGATTACAAATAATTTTCGTTCTCTTGCTATCGAAGAATTCGAAGACTTATCGTACGATAAAACCACCTTTCTTCAAAGCACTTGTGGATGTGACTGGGACGCACATGGCGTACACGACAACGGTGCACGCGCAGCTTGTTTACTTTCTCACCTTTGTCACCAGACTTCGATCGCAATTCGAATATCGATCGTTCTCTTGCGGACAATTTTCACTGTCTTGCGAAACGACGTTTATATTCGATACAATCAGAATTTCAACACGCTGAAATTCTTTTCATCGTGTGCCACATTTGACGATAATACGTTCGCCTTCAAACAACAGACTAGGATAAACGCGATTCTCTTGTTAAACATTACATCTCGAATTGAATCGATTGTTTTGAAGAACGATCGGTATGTGCAAATACAAAAGTTCACTCTTTACGACACAACATACTTTCGGATTTATACATTTGAGAAACAAAAAGCCGGCCGTTATGACGGTTTCTTTTTTCCCCTCTCTCGTTATGTTATGAATAACGCGCGTGACGCGAAAATCGCACGTAACGCCTCCTGCGCGAGTTTAACCGCGACTGCCGAGTCGAAGCGAATCGAGTCAGTCACGGTCTCGAGAGTCGAACAAGCTAGAGAGAGGGAGCGCAAGAAAGAGAGAAACGCGTATGACTGACGAGAACAACGATAGGTTAGCTAAAGAGAGAGAAAAGATTAAGTACAAGAGAGGGAAAAGAAAGAGACCGCAACAATTGTGCCAAAACGATTGACAGAGACGGATTTCACGGATTCAAGAGGAGGAAAAGAACAGAGAAAGAGAAGGAAAAATTTCACAGTAAGAAAAGAAAAAGGATTTTTTCAAACTTAAGAAAAGTAAGAAAATTGACAACTATAACGAAAAATTTAATATCATCTTTTTTTTTCTACAACTATGAAAACTTGATTATTCTATTCACGTAAAATTTCAATGAAACAGTATATAACCTATAATTCGTAACTAATCAATCGAATAATATTGCAATAATCATTTAAACATTCATTGTTATTTCATTTTAAATCTAAATTTTTATATTACAATTAAATTAATTAAATAAAATAAATAAATTTCAATTTCTCTTGAAATTTTCATACTTGTATTAAGAATTGTAAATACGACAATGTGAACGATAATCGATTACGGAACGTATCGATTTGAAATCCAGATATCGCCGATAAACACAAACCCACAAATGGGAAATAAAAGGCAAGAGATTAACGAAATGAAAGGAAAAACAAAAATCCTTTTAATGCACAAAATTTAAAAAAAAAGGAACGAGATCGAAAAGGAAAAAATTCCAGAAGAATCGTTTTCACGCTTATGCAAATATTTAATGTCGCGATTTATATTTGCAAAATTTAACATTTATATGTTACTCCATCATCTGAAAAATAAATCTGCGTGAAAAAAAAATTAATCTATCGTAATAATATGAATTTTTGAATTAGCTATCAAAATTTATGTCCCTTACTGGTTTAGCTTACCGGCAAAATGGTAAAGTGCATTGGCGTCACCAAAGCGAAAGAGAACGATGGCTTGGAAGACGGGAGGCCAGATAAAAATTGTTATCTATTCTGTTGGTCGACGTGTATGTGCTTACATCGACTTTCGTGTGATAACCACGGGTACGTTCATCTATTTACATAAGTATACGAATGACTAGTGAGAAATGAGAGAAACTCATAGGTGAGAAGAAGATATATATATATATATAGAATATACTTAGATGTGTAATATATAGTATTAGTAGATTTTTTGGTATCGTGCAAATTTGTCAAAACAAATATGATTAGTCTTCATCACTCTTTAGTCTCTGATTCTAGTCAAAAGAGAATCACGTTTTGCATGATAGAACGTTCCGTACAGAGTATATATGTGTATGACTATTTTACGAAGGCAATCCTGCTTATCTCATGAAACATGAAAACCAAGATTGCCTGCATGAAATCATATATATTGTGCGTCGTTTCAAAACAATTAAACTTCTTTGCGCTACGAACACTTCCATCGATTACATCAAGGTTGCATAAATAAAAATACATTTTTACTATGGAAAATTAAAATTCACAATACGATTTAACGATAAACTTTGTATAATGAAATTAAAGAATAGTTTTCAATAACGTGTAATTAAAATCGTTCTTATTTGATTGAAGATAAACATATTAGATGCAAATTAAAGCGATTATAATGAATTTCACGAAATTGATAAATACATTGATCAGCCGCCATGTATTATATGTTTCACAAGTAAATATTTTTGTATCGCGCATCTTTTTCCTTTTCTCTGTTTCCGTCTCCCACATATATTGAATAAACTGCACTGGTTTATGTGGGCGAATTATTAATTAACGACTTAACACATGTCGAAATAAATGACGTTTTAGAATTGAGAGGTTCTGAACTTTATCTAACAATCCCGTCATCGTATGGCGAAATAACCGTCAAAATATGTTAGTTATCGTTAAATATTTTCGCTATTCGATTAACAAAGATCATTAAAATTTCTACTTTCGCATACTCCTAAATAAATATTTTCAATAAAACTGCAAAAATTGACTCACCATTCTAATAATCGTCACGTATCACCGTATGACATTAGATAAATTAACGCAAGGAAATTCTATTATTTCGATCGAGATAATTAAATTACGAGAAAGAAGAAATTTTCTCTGATAGAAGAGAAGCAGAAATGAGATTAAAGGATATGGATACCGATGTAATAGTACGAATATTGATATAATATTTCGAACCAGCTTGTTCTAGCTCATCAGTTGCATAACCTAAACGAAATCGTGTAGGTACGCGACTAGGCCCCTTAGCAGACAACACGCCTGCGCACGCGCGTGTGCTTACCGCGTGAAAACGTGACAGAATAGCCAACTAACTTAGCTGTCGTTTTCTTTCTTCGTCCCTCCTTCTTTTTCCTCTCTTCTCCTTCTCTTTCTCTCTCTTCCTCTTTCTCGATTAGTCTGCTCTATTGTTTCTTTTCCGCTACTACTCCGCTGTCGAGTGAAGGTTCTATAAATTTATGTGCATGGTTGATCTTACGACTTTTTTTCTTTTAATTCTTCCACTTGTTTCAATTCCTTTTTTTACTTCTGATTTGCGAAATTATATACCTAGATTAAAATTCCCTATGAGCTTCTCTAGACGTTTTTCAAATAGATCTTTTTGTCATTAAAAAAAAAAAAAAAAAAATTAGCCCAAATTACAACACGCGTTTCATCGATTCGAGAAACACCTTTTGAAAAACGAGTATTCAAGCACTGTCATTATTGTGCAAAAGTGAAGATGCTTTTTACGAACTTGTGGAAGTGTAAAATGGCAATGTTGCTCAAGACTGTGACACGAAAATGCAAAGTTAGCACGGTAAGGAGAAAACGATGCACGAGTTAATTACGAGATCGCCGCTAAGAGAATTCCTTAACGAGTACCCAGCCGTCGATTAGAGAGTTGCAATTGACGGTCGTCGTCTCGTGAGGTAACGGTCGAGAGACCCGCGACTTCAAAAGAGAAATCTTCTTCCTTTCGTTCCTCTTCCTCACCCATGACGAGTAATACGCCAGATGGAAATCTCGAAATCGCGTATCCAATTTTACGATGAAATTTATCTTTCGAACGGAGAAACGCTTTTACCTGTGAAACACTTATTCATTTCTCATTGTCAAAACATTTCGACGACGACGACGATTTCCTCGAAGATTGTAAAATCTATTTACTCGTTCCACAACAAAAGGATATATCGTTGAATAATTATCGAAATAATTTTGTCGAAAATTAATCCGAATATTTTATAAAGAGATTTATAAAAATGTCCACAAGATATTCATCCACTTCTAGGAGGAGGATTTGACGTAAAACACGACTTCTTCTTTCCTGGTACGATCAGAATTTTTCCGGAATATAATTTCTCCTTTTTCGTCGGAAAAGTCAACGGGTTAAAAATAATGATAAAATAATTAAAATATGTTGAATAAGGCAAGGTTGAAGCTTCGGGGAATCGTAAACACGTTTGACCACTCCTTTTCTTTTTTCCATGTTCCGTCGACGGAAAGAAAAGAGAGACAAGAGGTTAATGCAACGTTTCCTGAAACATGAGGTAATCCCCGATCTGCGGCCGACGTTTCTGCGCTACCACGACCGGACACGCCCGCGCTTCCAGCCGTTTTTCATTAGTTGTGTCGTCAAAAGCGGCGACATCCGCGAGAATGTAATATAGATCGTGTAATTGCGATTCCTTGCGATCGTACCGTTCAATTGCTTTCTGATTTTTCTCCTTTTTATCCCGTTTTATTTATCTAACGTAATTTTTTTCTCTCTCTCTCTCTCTCTCCTTTTAAATAATCAATGGAGATGTTTCATTTACGTTATATCGAGGCCGTGTTAAAACGATATATATATATATATTACGATTATGAGGAAAATTGTACGATGTAAAATGTAACGAGGAGAGCAAAGATGATAATTTCCATGTTATTCCAACGTGATGTTTATTTGACCAAGTATAGATATAGGTATCAATTAAAACACGCAATTCGTTGCCGCGTTCATAATCGAAGCGCGTAGAAACTGCATAACAATCGAATAAACCGATTTCTCGATTAAAAAGTTGATAATTTTCCAAGGGACAAAATGAATTATAATCAAAAAATATATAATTTCACAAAAAAGAGAAAACATATAATTTCCTATCTTGATTAATATAATCTCTCGATAAATGATAAAAAAGAGAAAAAAAATTATTGATAAAATCAACGAAATTTGTGTCTTAATAAAGCAACGCGTTTAAATTACAAATCATCTGTCGACAAAATTTCATAATCTTAACCGATCTTCAACGAAATCCTTCCTTTCTTCCTCCGCAACCACTTTGATCCTCGCGCGCAGCTGCGCTTCTTCAAGCTGGAAACGCTCGAACGGATACGTCAATTAGGACGCCGCTAATTCACGGAGGTTGCGACCTTCCTCTCTCGGCCCACGTACGGGCCAAAGTAATAACGTAACTTGTTTGGAACACGAGATATATCGCGGGACAAGATCGGTGGAGGGGGTAAAGGATCGGTCTGAAAGCGTGTCTTGGTACCGAAGCTGCCATTGGCATTGACAAGCGTGTCAATGCCGCGAGAACCGCTTGCCTCGATTTCATTTCGCTGCTAGTATGAACAAGGTCACGGTAGTTTCGTCGTATCACGATCGAAAGGTCATCTGTCATTTTTCATCCGTTTCGAACATTTTTGCGTGTGGTATATAATAACGGCAAAAAAAAAAAAAATACTTAAGATTGTTTTTTTCTTTCGTGATAAATTTTTTCGTAATTTTTTATCTACGATTACTCGAATTAATTATATTACGAATAATTGAACGATCGAAATTGTGACCGAATTTCGTACCAAAAAATATAAACGATATATTTCTCGACCTTATGGTAATTTCAAACTTTTATTTTTTAGTGTACACGCTATTCGTTTCGTGTTTTACGTTTAGTTTATAACGCTCGTGCGGTGTTATAAGTTTATTACATTTTTCACCTTACGTGTAATGTCTCTATATAGCGAAAGAAATGCGCGCATGCGCAATGTTCAGTTATTCATCACTGTATCTTATTCTCCTATAACCTATAAATTTTTCAATGAGCCACCACATTTAAAATAGAGGAACAAATCGTTTAGTATTATTAAGCAATCGTACAGATTAAATTAACGCGA